GAGAGAGAGAGAGAGAGAGAGAGAGAGAGAGAGAGAGAGAGAGAGAGAGAGAGAGACTGGGGACTGGGGACTGAGAAGCCCAGGATATTAAATGAGCCTTTCAGGAAGAACTGTAAGAGCACGCACACAGGCGCAGGCGCATGCGCATTTAAAATGCCACAGCTAGGGCTCAGCATCGAACGGGCATCATGTCAGAAAAAGTGATTTATTTCACTGGTTCATTTCCTCCCTCCCCCAAATTCCCAATGTGCTTTGGGCTCAGAACCTTAAATGTGAGGAACAGAAGCCTGAATCACGATAAACAAGAATTAGTTATAACTATGACAGTGGCATATCCCTGGCCTCCAAAGAGCCCCGTCTGCTTGCCCAGACTGCTGACACTTTTTCCATCCAAAAAATAAAAACCGCTCAGGGCTGGAAGTGGGGTTCCCTGCAGCCAACCTGTCCTGCTTGCCGACCACCTGTGGGGGCAGAAGGAAACCTGATTATGGAGCCTCTCCAAGCCAGAGCACCCATGAGCACACACACACACCCAAGTCATAGTCAGTACAGAAAATATGGCTTCCTAAATGTGCCGATCCCATTTTGCAAGCCTGACTTCTGTCAATTCTCTCTTTCCTCCATTCTTTCTCTGGTATAGTATCAAAATTCCTGAGTGGCCCATCTAGGCCTGAGCAGGAAATGTAGGTGTGGTTGTGGCAGGCCCGCTCCCCAAGGCCACTATCTCCAGGGCAGCTACTAGTAGGACTCTGTGCCCTACGACCCTCTGGCATGCCATCTGTCCCTTTGTCACACGGGAGCTCAGCACTACAAGCACTTAGCATTTAGCACTACAGTAACTAAACACTAAGAAGACTCAGCACTGTAATACAAACCATGCTTTGCTTTGGCTTCTCTCTCATTTAGACCCTACTAGAACTCTGTAACTGGATTTCCTTTTTCGGCAGGCCCAGCTTCACATTCTTGTTTATTTGTTTTAGGACAATATTGTTAAGATTCATTTTTATGGATACATGTGTATATCCATATATGTCTATGCATGTAAGTGTAGGTGCCAATGGAGGCCAGAAGAGGGCGACAGATCTCCTGGAGCTAGAGTTTAAAGGTAGTTGTATGGTGTCCAATGTAGGTGCTGAGGATCAGATTTCAGTCCTCTGGAAGAATGGTGCTTGCTCTTAATTACTGAGCCCCCAAATAGCCCCCCTCTCTAGACCCCAAATAATGTCATTTTTCTTTCTTTTCTTCTTGAGATCTAATCCACATGCCTTACCATGCATTCTTTTAGGCCCGTCATAGTGGCACACACTCATATTCCCAGCACCTAAGAGGTAGAGACCATAGAATCAAGAGTTCAAAGCCAGTCTGGATTACATGGGGAATTTGAGAAGCTCACCTACAGAGACCCTACGTGCGTGCGTGCGTGCGTGCGTGCGTGCGTGCGTGCGATCGTGCGATCGTGCGTGCACGTGTGTGTGTGTGTGTGTGTGTGTGTGTGTGTGTGTGTGTGTGTGTGTAAAATAAATCACCTTTGACCAACTAGGGCAAAGGTAGACAGATTTCTGTTGAGTTCCAGACCAGCCAGGGCTACTTAGAGACTGTCTCAAAAAAAC